TGGCGCAGTGCCAGCCCGACATCCAACAAAACTTGAAGCGTGCAAACGACAGCAACTGATGGATGACGAGCTGGCGCCGGGTCAAACCCACCTCTTGACACGCCCCATCATTCTGCAGCGAAAACGAATATATAAGAATCGAATGGTTTTTGAGATCGAGTTTCGATAGAGGAATTGGAGCGAATGACTGGTGACCTTAGCCCAAGGTACCTAACAATGGCCCTTCTCAAGTAGTCTCAACCTATAAACTGACCAAAACACTAGCTAGATCCCGTTGCACAGCCGTATAGCTGGCAGGTAATCTGCCACCCTTCATTTCCCTTTCGACAACCGACGAAAACGGTTCCCACATTGAATAATGGGTGTACTTGATTGAAGGTCGTGCTACATGCCTGAAACATAGAAGATAACTTGAATACTGCAAATGACCACTTCCCACGTACCTTTCTCACGTTTTCGTCCTCATCGTTGAGATGCAGGAGAAGCGCGACGATGTTTGCGTGAAGATGTGACATAAATTCTTCGTTCTCGCCACCAATACGAGCCGCCAACTCGCCGAAGAGGCTAAATGATGCTGCCCGTAATGGTGCCGATTCCTGAAATCGCAATTTGAACAATGAGAGCTTCAATAATTTGGACATACTGCATCAGTTCAACTGCTTGGGCCAAGTTTCCAATGAGAGTAAAATTACCTTCTCGAAACAAGGACGAATCTTCAAAAGGACCTGTCGAAGTATCGAATGCAGTTGAGCGTCATTCGTCTTTGAGACGAGCTTGTTCAGAGCTACTATTGACTCCATTGCTACCTAAAGAATACGTCGCTATTTGTGTGGAACAACACGAACATAAAATTGTTTTATAACACCGTGAATAATCAGCTACCGTGTCGTTTTTGTCTCCAAGATCATCAAGTCCTCCCATTGCAGCTTCAACTGCAATGCTCGCAAATCCGTTCCGCGATCGATTCCGATGAGCATTCCGATAACTCACCCAAGCCACGGACGCATAGCTAAACAAAGAAATAAACTGAAATAAGAGATGAGATACAAAATGTGCAGAGAAAAGGACCATCCACACTTACCTTCCGTATCCGCAAGCTCTGATCTGTGAGAGAATTCTCCAACAAACGCACGCTGTCAATTAGCAATTTCTCATTGAAGTCTCCATTGGAGTCCGGAGATCTGAAAAGAGGATCTCGGTCACGCTCGGAGTATTGTAATACTAATCGCTAGCTTTTTATGACCTTCAGAACGAAGACAGGGATCACTTCAGGCAAGAGATACCAGGCGAATGAAGATATACTTTCCCTCAGGCAGCGCAAAAGTGTACCCATCCTGTGGTCCTTCATCGCAATCTACCGCGCGTGAAAGGGAGGTTTTGCCCTCTAGACACCCATACACCACTAGTCACGGTTCAGTGGTAGAGCTATATTTTTCAAAGGATGATTTCTCGGTAAGTGACGCCGTATGCAGCGCTACAGTCCTGGATTCCTGGTCGGCTCTAGGGCAACGAAGCCCTCCATTCCTCCTAGGTCAGTAGGCTACTGCCGCTTTTCTAAGAGGACAACTTTTTCTTCCAAATCTGTCTCCACCCCCCCCCCCCGCAAACTCCTTGTATAGGTCCAAATGCACTGAATGGGAAGCAAAATGGCCGGCGCATCTAGCAAAGTACACTACAATTAGCGTAGTCTTGGGGATGTCTAACCGAAACGGTCTAGTCGGCCGATCGATTGAAGCTAGGCGGAGTGGATATTGTCAGAAGACTCTTGGGCTCTTACACAGTTGGAAAATAATCGGAATAAGGCGGGGAAAACCAAAACACCTACTTCTTCACAAGCGCTGAAGACACAATCACAGCTGCCAGACGCATCGGCTCTCTTTCATGGCTTGACTTCTCCATCACACTTCTTGCTAGCGAATCCACCCATTCTGGTCGGTGTTCTACCAGGGAACGAACCAATACTGTAATCTGTAAGAGAAATCCTCGAGACAGGTTCCTGGTACTCTCATGAAGTAATCTAATCGAAGTTGTAGCATAAAAGAAACAGCGATGTAGAGAATACCAACCGCGCCTATGAACAACTCTCGATCAAGACACTCAGTCCATCCTCTCGCCTGATTCATATCCTCAATGACAGCTGTTGACATAGTTCTAAAAAAGTAGTTAGAAAGCAAGGCCCTGCGAAGCTTCAAAGCTCCCTACTTGGCAATTCAAATCTAGTGACAAGCTCCACGATTGTCTGAGAGGTATATCCTTCTTCCGTGCCTGGTTTCGCAGCAGTCCACTCCCTCCATTCGACAATGAAGCCAGAGGCTCCTAATTGCTTGGTATTCTCTGTGTCTCCATTAACCACTCGATACTTAACATACTCGTTACGCTCACGCCACGCCGACAGCCGTGTCAGGCGCTTGACTTGTCGTGTGGCGTGCCTGTGACCGGCGTGTCGCTTTTGGAATTGTGGGCGGAGACATCAGTTGAATCAAGCTTATATTGAGCCTTTGGCATCATTTCCACGCACTTCGCAATGGGGAAGGGAGAGGGGATTCTGTTTAGGCGGACTTACCTACCTCAGGCACGGAAAATTCACTTCTCAGGCAATTACTTGAAAGCTCTCCTGAGTGCCTCTGAAAGCTGCAACTATACCTGGATAACAGCGTCTTGAGCGCTGCCACAGCTAAACCTGCGGGTCTCTCAGCAGAACGTCTCAACTCAGGAGTTATGATGAGAGGCTGCTTCGATCCTTAATACAGCAAGCGTCAGACATAGAAAGCACAAAATGATTCTAAGAAGAATCTCTCAACCGACCGTCCTTATTCTCCTTCACAACCACTGGAAACTGCGTATCCGAAACGCTACAAATCATGTGGAACATTGCGGCGATAAGCACCGGGACTCTTTCATATAATGTCCATTCTGGTTCTCCGTGCTGAAGGGAATACGTGAGTTTCTCCAG